TCAGAGCAGCTGCTCTCTCTACAGTATTGATCACTCCAGAGATCAGAGCAGCTGCTCTCTCTACAGTGGCGATCCTACAGAGATCAGAGCAGCTGCTCTCTCTACAGTATGAACAGGAACAGAGATCCAAGGGGAGGGGGCAGACGTGTGTGTACTTCTGTTTTTGTTCTGATGGCTTGTTTCCCATTAGAAATACTTCTACAAGAGAATGGGGAAAGAGCTCGGGAGGTTCTTCGAGAGGCAGTTCGAACACGTGTTCAACATCGGCTACGAAGACCAGAAGCCCTGGCAGCCATAATGAGGGCGATGTGAAAAGATCGCAGTCGCTGTGGTTTATAGCGCAGCCTGGAGGACATTCTGTACACCTGCTCCCCAGGATCCACAGCTTTCCTCACGTCAATAAGCAACCTAGGAGGAGATTTTAATATTGTGCCTAATGATAATTTAGACGGTAAACGCAAAAGGATCATTGTATTGGGGAGTCAAAAGAACTGGAAAATTGTGTATGGGATTGCTTGTAACTGATATCTGGAGATGTTTGAATTCTGGAGTAAGAACTGTTTCATGGTGTAATCCAGATTTGTCAAAACAGTCGAGAACTGATTTGTTGCTGGTATGAAAACATAAGAAAATCTCACTCCAGATGTCGATATGAGTTGTGTAGTTCTGACGGACCACAAAGGGATTGCTTTGACAATATGTAGGTCTGATGTGTTGTGAGCGTTCTGGTGCACTATGGCTGCCGTCACATCATCCAGGTGGGGCTGCACATTGGTGGTGGTGGAGGGGATCCCCATTACCTTTAAAGCGCTTTGAGTGGAGTGTCCAGAAAAGCGCTATAGAAGCGTTAGCATCTAGTCCTGTGAAACCTAAAAACACAAGTTTCTGGAAATTGAATAGGAACTTCCTGGAAAATGCTTAATTTCTAAAGGATAGTAGTTTAAATTGTGATAAAGTTGTTCAATAATGCTTTTATCAGAACAATCTGTTTGCAGTAATCAGAAATTTATTAAATCTAAAATAGTCAACTCACTATTAAAATTAGTAAAGGGCTAGCCAATTCTAACAGGAAGAAAGAAGAGGATATTGTTAAAGTTACTGCAATTGATCTTATTTGCTAGAAGAGCTGTATTAAGAAAAAGTAAAGGCAGTATAAGTAAGATCAAGGAGATGAGAAAAATAGTTTTAGAGCTTAGAAAAAAAGAATTCAGAATATAAATTGATCAGTAAGTTAAATATTAATTGGTATAATTAAAACATGATAGTTTTACATGTTGCGGACTAGAACAAATTTAAATTCGAATGCTTGGATTTTTTTGGCTTTGGTCACTACACTTCAGAAAGTTGACAATGGATGCAGGAACTCAGGAAGACTATTCAAAGGGACGTTTCAGAGATTTGCGATTAGAGGCATCGACAAGGAGGTCTAATACCACCTTTTCTGGTTTTATTAGTAACTCAGACTTTGGCTCTTCATATCAACAGCGGCACTGTGAAAGGTATAAACATTTCAGGTAGAGAAATTTAAAAACTTCAGCAAGCAGATAATACTACTGTTTTTCTTAAGGACAGAAGAGAGCTGTATGATGCAGTTGAAGGTTTAAATTTGTTTTAATGTTTCAGGTTTATTTTGTAAAATAAAAAAATTTGAACTATTTACTCAGACTCTGATTTAGGAACAACTGATAATAGACCTCTAGAGAAAGTGGCACCATACCCAGGTATAAGAATTTGTAAATATCAAGAAGGAAGAGGTAGGTGGAATTTTACACCCATTATAAAGAAAACAAAAAAGATTCCATTCTCAAAATACACTGAAATATCTGCAGGAATGTAAAGATTCCCAGTTACAACTTTAAGTCTGTTCCTGGTGGAATGCAACATTTTGAAACAGATTTTTTTATTTTACATTACTAAGAAAGCAGCAGTTTTAGTCACATTTTTGTCAGGCAGTTTAAATTGTATAATGAAACAAAGGTTTTACTTCACTTTTAAAATGAATCAAGTAGTTTGTTTCTTTTTAGTCTTGGAATATTAAGTTTAGTCTTGCTTAATTTAAAATTACGACTGCTATAATGGGATAGCTTACCGTGTTAAACAAGAAACATGAGCATAAAGCAGATTACATATCTTAACTGTCAATAAACTGTCTTTATTGCTAAAGTCTAGATCAATATCTGACTTTATTCACAGAAAGGGAAAAGCTACCATCATCAGGGCATGCACATTAGTGCTATATACTTCTACAAAACAGAGAAAAGATTACCTCGACATCCAAAACAGAGATTTTCTTTTTTTTTAAATGAAAGAATACCCCTACTCCTGTTACTAGTACTAACACTACTCCACATGTTTTGACAAAGGCTAAAGTGATTTAAAGATTCAGGTCGTGTCCTGGTCTCTGTGCCTCGCAGTTAAGATGCTGTGCCTTGGAAACGGCAAAGTGCAGTTTGTTGACATTCGTACAGCTGTTTGAAATCACTGCCATTTACGTT